CTCAGATTTTCTCGTGGCATGCTTTTTACACATTGGGGTAGCTAGGGGGGTTCGGACACCGTCTTTGATTGAGGGCTCTGCATTGCTGAGCAGGGAAGTGTCTCTGTGGATTCCCTTTGTGGGCTGTTGAGACGAGCTTGCAAGAAAGCAGCGTAGCCTGGAAGCAGCAAAATTCTCAATTACCTTGAAATTCAGTCTCTTGAGGAGGAAAATAGGTTGTTAGGAAGTATCGGATTCCTTCAGAATGTCTGGATTATTTGTAATGTCCCTCCTGTGCCTTCCTGTTCATATATAAGGATGCCTAATGATCCATTCCCTGTATTGGCCAAATGTGACCACAGTGTGTGTTAATAAACGCCCTGAATAATAAATTCTTCAAAAGGAGGGTTTTATTGCCTGACAGCAGTAGTTGCAAACCCCTGTTTTCAGGGAGTAGGGGATGTAATGCTTCTGGACTAACACTGAATGCAACAGTGGCAGTGAAGAGGTAACTTTTGTATGCATCAGGCTTATAAACTCCTGGAAAATGAGGAAGGATTTATCGTATGGTCAAAACAATGTTTGGTGCAAGACCACTGTGGTTAAAAAAAAAAAAAAAAGCTTTCATTTCTGGTCCTTATCACAAAAAAGGTGTTTAGAAACCTCTGCTAACCCTTGAGCGCATCAATATATGCAGATATTACACCACGTTTATCCTGAGTGACTTGTGTGCTGGTCATGCTTAATTGCTTGCCTTGGTTCCTCACTGCAGTTCAGAGGATACATGCATCCATTTATCCATACATCCAGTGTGCAGGAAGCTGGTTTATCAGTTTTTGATGCATAATGGCAGAAAACCATTAGCAGTTGAAACCGGGCCTATTTGCAGAATGGTATTTGCAGTAGTGGCTCTTCATTGTTAACCAAGTATGAAGCTCCTGGGGGAGAATGCTCAGTACAGGAAGTGGTGGGGTGTGTCTGCCGAGGTGGTAACACCCTCCTGCCCCTGATTTCTGTGGCTAGTAAGCACATTGGGCTTTCTGCACAGTGACAGTACTGTGCAGCAAGGGAGAACGTGTATTTAGGTTGGCTTCGGCGTTCCACGTTAACACTGCAGCACCCAGGGAGACAGGAGTGTCTACAGGAGCGTAAGGAAGGCGCAAACTAGATATAAGTAAGAAATTTTTTACACTGAGGGTGGGGAGGCACTGGAACAGGTTGCCCAGAGAAGCTGTGGATGCCCCATCCCTGGAAGTGTCCAAGGCCAGGCTGGATGAGGCTTTGAGCAACCTGGTCTAGTGGAAGGTGTCCCTGCCCATGGCAGGGGTTGGGACTGGGGGGGCTTTAAGGTCCCTTCCAACCCAAACCATTGTGTGATTGTGTGCAGTTGAATGGATTATCTCTTGCACATTAACGTATTTCTCACCAAGACAACGAAAAGTAGCAAGTGCACTCAAAATAGCACTTTTCAGGAAGTGTGGGACGTACAGATAAGGTCTGGCATCACTGCTGTGACCTTGACAGTCAGCTGACTTTCAGAGAAGCTCTTTAGGTTTCAGTAGGAGGCCAAGTGATAGTACAGCTGTTTCCCATTCTAGCTCTGACATTTAAGCTGCCACTGAGTCCATGGAAGTGCTTCTAGATTTCAGAACGGCCTCACAGCATTAGCCTTCAGGTAAGGTTTCTCGGTCCGATTGTAATGCCTTGCACACAACGGAAAGGTACAATGTTCCTAGGAAGTGCTGTTTCCTGTTACCGGTTTCTAAGGTCAGAAGATGCTTGGAGCTGTATCTTGACCCTCTGCCAGTACGTGGTCTGTGGAGCCCATATGACACTTGACAACATCGCAGCTCCCTCTCTGGTGTGTACTGCTGATTCTTGATGCCTTTGGAGAGTTTTGTCTTATCTTCTCAACAATTTTGATTGTCAGTGTAGAATATTTCTTGTCGTATTTGACATGCAGGTGGGCTGAAATCCAAGCTTTCGGGAGCTTTCACCTGGGGTTTTTTTTGTTGGTTTGGGTTTTTTTTGTTGGTGGTGGCCAGTTGGTTGTTTTAATTCAGGAAGATGACAAAGCCGTACTGTGCTTTTTTAATCTGCAGTACAGGTGTGATACAGGCATCTAGTCTTGCTTCAGATGTCTGAGGGTGTCCAAGACATTTGAAGAGGGTTGGCAAATACAATATGGACTTAGGGCACACCTGGAAGGTGACAGTGGACGCATTTGTGCAGGCAATGGCGTCTCCTGCACGTTTACCATGTATTTCAGAGATTCTGGTGTACCCTGAACGGTGTAGCATGCACTCCATACAAGATGGGTATTCCCTAATGATGCTGGAGGGGCAGAGAGATCCGTGTGTTTCCACACGCAGGAAACTTAAGGCTGCAGATCTTTGTAGAACAAGTCTTCAGTGACAGGAAAGGCAAGTCCTGTGCTTCTTTTCTGCATTTTATATTTCAACCAGCCTTCTTATGTTTAGCTGGATGTTTGGCAGTGAAGCTGCAGGAGGGTTTGATCAGGTTACTGTCTGTGTTTGTATCCTACAGGATGCTTTTATGCTGAGGGAGGTAGAACTCCTGGTTAGGCAAACGAGTTGTTTTGGGTGGGTTTTTTGCCAAAAGAGTTATCTTTTGGCAGAAGGAAGCTCTACAGCGACACTGAACTGAGTGTCACGAGAATAACGGTAACTTGTGGCCCTGTGTAAGGCTGACAGCTCCATGAAAAGGTGGTTGTTGCGGCAGACGGCCAGAACCGCAGCTTGTTGCCTCCTCCAGAAGGCTGGCTGCCGATCCGACCCCTGGGGACAGAACCTCGGGCATCTGCTTGGTCTGCTGAGGCCTTCTCCCTCGCTGGCGTTTGACCCGGGGCACCATCGCTCAGCAGGGCTCAGCTTTGAGACTTTGAGTAAATTCTTTAGACAGACGGAGTGTTGAAGGCTTTAAGACCAGTGTTATTTCCTGAAATGACTGCAGTGCAGTTTTGCTCTAAGTAAATTGATCTTCACTTTTGATGGCAAAACTGGTGCAATTTGGGCAGAACTGACTTCGCTGTTCACTTCGGGTGTCCTGTGGGGAATGCCCTCTCGGGCTGTGCTCTGTTCTGCTTGCCTGAGCAGTCAGCTAGTCTTCAATTGGAAATCTTTCTTACTTGTAATGAAATTCTCATTTCTGAAGAAAATGTAGTTTTCAAGTCTAAACCAGCCAACTAATTTCTTAGTACTTCAGTCGGTTTTGTCCAAAGTGAGATTACAAGCTTGAAGAAATAGTCTCAGCCCTTCCATGCAGCACCAAATATTAGCCCAACCAGGGGGGATAAATAATGCCAGCAAACGGTGCCCCTTGTGTGCCTTTGTGTGTTTTCTTTAGTAATTGTCAGCTTTAGTTCATCAAAAATAATTTTACACTTGATTTCCCTGATTTTTAATTAGTATTTATCATGTAAAACTATAGCCAGGGAGCTCTTGGACACTTTGAACAGGAAGCAGGTAAACAATCAGCTTGTTCATGAATACCTCTCTGGTTTTGCCTACGTTTGTTTTCTCAAATTGTAATTACCAGGTGTAGTCCTAAATTGTTCTGCTTCTTACCTCTTCTTGCCAAGATAATTTTTTCCTATATTTTTCATCTCTCCCGAGAACTCTATTTTTAATGGTTGATTTAAAGGAAACCTCTTGTGTATTATAATGTGGATTCTGATTAGTACACCTAATTGCAAAGAGTACATTACTTCAAAAGAAAATGAACGAGGCTGTATTTTTCAGCTCAGTTTCATTTGCACACCTTTTTTTGAGCGCAAGGAATTGTGAGTACAGCCAGTGGCAATGTAATACCTGCTGGTTGGACAAATTTAGCAAATTGGTTTTGCCTTCAAGTGTCCAGCCTATTTGTATCCACAAATTTAAGCACAAACAGAAGAGCCTTTGTGTAAAGCCAAGTTTTAAAAATCTCAGTTGTCATGTTGCTGCATATTTTATATTGGGTGAGAAATACTAGTGAGGATGAGTTGGGCTGGAGGGAAGATGTGCTTTATTTGCTCTTGTGGGCAGTCAGAGATAGTCAAAGTGGCTTTTTCATAAACTAATTTTCTTTAATTTGCTAATGGCTTAACAATGCTTAAATTGACCAACTCTGGTATTTTCAAGTAAATGTTTTTCCTAATGTCTGCATAATCTTTGTGGGTTATTTATTTTCCTAATGTGATCTACCTCCTTTTTAGTCCCCTTCTCTATGGCCACGTGCAGGGTCTTTCCTGAAAAGAGAGAGTTTTCTCTCTGAGAGTTTTCATGGAACAGCTGGAATTGGCCCAGTGATGGATAACCAGGATAACCATTACAAACATCCATCAAAAATTTGTCAACAGCTTTGATATCCTCAGTAGATGTTTACCTTTTAAATATATTTCCATTATATATTAATATAATGGTCTCCTGTAATGGCAGCTGTAATGGTCCCCTTGGATTATCCTTTCAGTCTGTTGGGGTGCGAGGAGCATAAATGCCCTGACCTTCTCCTTTTCCAGTTTAGCCCTGATTAAGCAGCCTGAAAACCCGAATTTCTGCTTTTGCACTACCCTTCGCTGGCCTGACACGTTGTCCCAAGCAGGTGTGACTGTAGGACTGAACCTCATTCTAGCAAACTGTGGATTTCTGGACCAAGGCTGGAGTCTGTATTTGAAAATTCCATGGGTAGTAGAGGGAAGGTTGCCCAGAGAAGCTGTGGATGTCCCATCCCTCGAAGTGTCCAAGGCCAGGCTGGATGAGGCTTGGAGCAACCTGGTCTAGTGGAAGGTGTCCCTGCCCATGGCAGGGGGGTTGGAACTGGATGGTCTTTAAGGTCCCTTTCAACCCAAACCAGTCTGTGATTCTATAAGAAAAGACATTAAACTTACATAAATTATTCCAGGTTGAAGGGGTCGATCCCCAGATCTTGTCTGAAACCCGTCTGTTCCCCTGACCCACTGCAGTGACTTGTGCACGTTTCGTGTGTGGTTTACCAGGCCACTGTGTATTTTTATTTCATAGGAAGCAAGAACAGAATCTATTGCCAGACCTTTGGAGATAAATGAGGCTGAGAAGACGATGAAAATTGCAATTGACTGTGTTCTGGTAAGCAAAATGGTGTTTGTTTAATTGCAAAATTATGATTCCTCTCCTGCAAGAGGCTCTTTTTATCAACAGCCTAAGGTCAAGAGCACCAAAGCCCACGTCACCTTCAGCTGGGTGAACCAAGTCGTGCTGCACCCAGTCAGTTAACAGCTAATGTTGAACTTCAGTTGATGGCTAGTGCAGACTTTGGTCTTCAGGTAACACCAGGTGTGTGAACAGAAGTTCATCAGGGCACAGACCAGTCTGTGGTGACGCCTTGTGTTGTGGTAATGAATACGGTCACAGATGATCCTTATGGTTTATTTGGGGAATCTGTTGTGTTCAAAGTGAGCAAAGCTGTTAACTGAAGCCGATGGCTTTCCTGGCAGAGCGAAGGAGGTGTCTGCACAGTGGTGACTGGGAGCTGCTAGTCAGAAATCACAGCCTGCAGCAGAAAGAGTAAACAGTGTTAACAGCACCACCCCGGAGAACATGTGAAGACCTGCTCTGCTTTCAGGCTGTATAACTGTGTTGGTTCAATATGCAGAAACATTGGTTGATGAATCAGAGAACTGCTCTTGGCTTCCCTTGGTCTCTCTCTTGGGAGAAAACGACTGAAAAACCCTCTGCATTTTAGTCATATTCCCTGCCTCTGCTAGGAGCTTAGTAGTTGCTCCAGAAGCTCTACAGGAGAGAGAAAAATTGCCTAAATCAGCACAGAAACCTACATCCCACCTGCATTGTCTCAGCCATGTAAACTCTGCGGAGTCAGGGCTACAAGGGGTGTGCTTGGTTACTCAAAATGTGCTGGTACCTCTGGAGGTTTGAGGCTGGGGAGGCTGAGCTGGCCATGGGGTGCGAGGCACTGTGCTGATTAGTGCCGTGCCAGCGCGTGGTTACGGTTCTTGTTTCAGAGTCTGTCCCAGTCTTGCTTCACTGCTTGGGTTCCTTATTTCTGAACCATTAGCTGCACTCATGCCCCTGTGCAAGCATGGCAGTTAATTAAATCTTAGTGATTACTCTTAAGTTATTTAACTGCAAACTGTATCCAGTCCAATTGTATAATTACAAGGAGTGGAGTTCCAGATTTAAACAGCCAATGCACAATCAATAGACACTCCAGGCAATCTTTCCTCATGTTTCTGTGCCCACTAGCAGCCTGTATGAATTCTAAATGTTGTTAACATGCATTGCTATTCCAGGCAGTAGTGCTGATAAACTAACAGCAGCATCGTAGAGCAATTGGCTGCTTGGGAAATATCAGTAACTCGTACCTCAGCTGTTCTAGTTCTGGTCCAGCTAATGAAATGCCCTGTTATAGCAGAGCGGCACCCAACAGCTACTGCTGAACTTCAGCAAGTGTGAAGTCGTCTCTCTCTCTCACTCAAAAGATGCTCCAGGGTTTCCTGAGCATCAGCACCCTGAATGTACTCAGCTCACTTGAATAAACTGGAATATTGCCCTCCTGATTTCTGTAGCACATGTTTCAATGTTCAGGATGCTTCCCAGATTTTGAAAAGCAAGACTTAGAAAAGGATGAAGATTTTCGGATAGAGTAAGTTCTTTATAAATGTGACCTTTTTCTTGAAGATAATTATTCATTGCCTGGCCAGTTTATGTTCTAGCTCATTGTTATGAAGTTATTTGATAACCTGTGATGTGAGATTATACAGAAGAATGGTCAACATCTGAGAGATAATTCTAATTATTCCAGTGCAAGCCCTGGTTCACCCTCCTTCTCTTTTAGGAAGAAGTCCAAAAGACTAAAGAAATGTTGAATAATGTGGCTTTGGATGAAGCCAGTTTGGAAGCCAAGATTGAAAAACGAAAATTGGCACTGGAAAGAAGCCAGAAGAGGCTACAGACTCTACAAAGTGTTCGGTAAAGGTTATGAACTGATTATCTACTGCATAAATGTTAGCGTAAATGATAGAACTGTGCACTGTTCCTGCTTAGAGCAGCGAGGAGTGAAATCTGGACTGAGACTGAGTTGATGTCCTGTGGAAGAGAGAGACCCTCTTCTCTAGAAATGCCCAATCTGCATTGTAATTGTCCATTTACCTGTATTTGAAATCAGAATTTGAGGTCTGTTCAAAGTGGCCAGAATATTATTTGTTGGGATTTCTTAATTGCTGCTTAAGCTGTATAAAATAGTCAGGTAGCACATCTTTTCCTCTGTCATCAACACAGGTAATGCTGTCAGGTAATTCTCCTGAAAATGGCAACCGGTGCAAGCATTCCCTCTCTTCCCAGAGGCTTCTAGCATTCTTAGCCACCAATAAGAAAAGTTGATGTGCATCCCTCTTAGTCTCTGAAGTAGTGTGGAACCTTAAAAACGAAAGGTCCTTGTAGGTCAGTTTAGCGGACGTGGAAATGAAGCTGCAAAACCCAAACCACTTGTTTCTGAATTCTGCATATACAGGTCAGTATTTTGCTGAGTAGTTTGTGCTTGTTCTCTCCAGTCCTGCTTTCATGGATGAGTATGAGAAGATTGAGGAGCAGCTGCAGAAGCAATACAGTAGTTATCTAGAAAAATTCCGTAATCTGACCTACCTGGAGCAGCTCCTGGAAGATCATCGTAGGACAGAGCAAGAGATGTTTGAGGTAAGACAGTTCAGAAATGCTCAGCAAGACTGTATATCCTGTAGTTCTTGGCCTTATGACTGGAAATGCTTTAATACCCCTTTGCCAAAGCAGCGCGTTACTAGCTGGAGAGCCAGCTCCGAGTGACTGGTGGTTGACTGACAACCCGGTAAGCGTGACTGCTTTTGGACAAGAATGGTAATACAGCTTTATTTTTTGAGTTAGTGAACTTAAACCAGTGTAACAATGCCCCTTTCGGGTCTCTGACTCCCCTGGCTCGTTTTCAGTCGATGTTTTTTGTACATGAAGAACGTTTTCAGCGTTTCTACTCTTCCTTTTGCTACGTACAGTGTATGTGCTAAGAGTTTAGGTGGTTATTTTTATCAACAACAACTGGCATATAAGGGCTTCTCAGCACGAGGCTCTTCAGTTTCCTCGTAGTAGTCCTCTTCAGTGAAACAGCAACGATTCTTAGCATAAAGGTCAGATATCCTGGAATCCTCTCTCACATAGACTTCAGTTTGGCTTGGCAGAAATTCTGTTTTCTGTTGACTGGCTGAATCGTATCACTTCAGTGCAATTATTTTTTATCCTGTGGATAATCTGCATCTTCATCTCACCTTGCTCCCTCTTTTTCTTCGGGTGTTTATTGGACTGGAGCGCTTTCAGCCGACCTTTTATTCTGCTTCCTGTGGCTTCATGTTGAATTTGTTGGCTTTTCGTCCTTCTCTCAGTCATTAGCCAGTGTATCTTCTGTTCTTCACTGAAAACTTGTTTCAGCAGATGGTCTCCCCTTGGACGTTAATACCGTGGGTGCGCTGTACTTGAGTTAACCAGCGCATCCTCTTCTGGGTCGTCCTGTCTTTCACATGCAGATCATGTTTTATTTTGTCAACTTTTGTTCCTGGCAGAAATGTGGGAGTGACGCTCCTTCTATCTGGCTATGACTGCACGTTTTGCTTTTGCCCTGTCTGTTTGTGCCTGCTGATTTGAAAAGTAAAGTGATTTGAGCCCAACTTTTTCAGCCTTCTCCTTTATCGTATTCATACTTGTGTCATAGTAACATCTTGTGACCTGTGCTTAGGCTGCAAATAAGGCACAGAAATTTTATAGTCCCTCTTCTCCTACCATCTGTCTCTGTTGCATTTGTGGGATCTTTTTAGAAACCTTTGTCATTCTGTAGGACTGGCTGTGCTGAGAAACCTCCCCTTTGACATCACGTGCGCTCTGTTCCTGCATGTCTACACCGCACGGTACAATGCACAGGGGCCTCGTAACCAGGCTTCAGGCCGTTCTGCAGTCTGGAGGAAAGATGGTAATTCCCATCACCCTTTGGATGTAGAAAAGGCGTGCTGCATTCTGTGGAGAAGGCTCAAATATTTTGCTGCATTGTTTGCTTGAGGGATAAAATAACCTGTCGTCTTTTTAAAGATAACATGAGCATTTGACAACTTGTTAATCATTGCGAAGCAATTTCCCATTAACATCCCTTTTTATAAGCACTGCCTCTGGAGACTTCACATATTTCTAATCTGTAGTCAGCTTGGTATTTTCATGTGTCTTGGTTTATAATGTTCTAGTTCTTCCCCGTATCTTTGGCCAAAAAAAAAAAGTCCTCAATTAAATCATAATCTTGAAGCCTAAAATCTGGTTTTTCCCTTCTGTTCAAATACCGTTGAGACTTCCTACCAAAAGCAGAAATGTTTTGAGCCGAGCTACCTGAAGCTGTTATGAATTCGTGCAC